GAAAATCTGTTTTTGCTTGCTTGTACTCTGATACTTGATCTTTCTGCCTCTTTGCCTTCACAGTTTGGAGGATGCACACATGCACTCATCCTGCAATCACTTAGTATAACCATAACTTCACTGATACAAGTATCCAGTATGATTACTCACATCAATAAGAAAAGGAATCTACACGTTCATGCATTTTTTTTCAGGATTAGCTGAAGCATTGTTTTCTGGAGCAAAAAAAAGGCCAAAATGATGGAGGGAGGAGAAAAATGACCAGTGTTGGCCAGGTTCTTGTGTTAGTTCCAGGTGATAAGGTAATAGCTGAATTTTTGTGTTTTATCATCTAGAATAATATTATCTAGGATGTTTACCAATATATCCAACATTTACCCATAGAATTCTTTCACTCTTTTTTCTGCTAAAATTAGTGCTAATAATGCACTGCCATGATCTCCAGCAAAGGGTAAGCTTCTCAGTTTTTTAAATACAAAGGATCATATAATGGCTTACACATAAACCAGAGTCTTTGGGGCAATGTGTGCCAATGCTGCCTTTAGATTAGATAGCATCTCTTGAGAGATGCAGTGAACATCACAGCAGCGAGCAAAGGAAAGAAGAATGACTCAACAACATATGAACTGAAAGAAAATCTGTTGCCTTTCCACTCTCTTTGATCTTTAATCAAATAGCTGTAGCGTTTGAAGGAGTCTTGAGTGTGTGAGACATCTGGGAGTTCCTTGCTTCTTAGGTCATGTTCTATCTATAAAACTCTGATTGAGTGTGTAGTGTGGATAGGGTGGCTGCAAGCAAGAATTACTGCACTCATTTTGGGACTCTCAGTGAAACTTGCTGCTGCCTCATGAGCTAGTTCCCCGTGGCATCTTTTTTTCCTTTCATTTTCATTCAATAGATGGAAGAACTTTAGAAAAGTATTCTGTCTATAAACCCTCCTCACCTTGAAATAAAAGAAAAATAAATGCTAATAAGGGTAATAAACCAGAGGGGATAGATTGTGACCAAATGAACCCAGGGGTTTATAGAAGGTGTTACGATTAGGTAGAATTTGGCACGTTGCTTTCCAGTGTTATGTTTTATTTTACATACCTTTGTAGCTCATAAACCCAGTAATTTTGGTCACTAAAATAATTTCTTGCTCCAGAATAAAACTCTCGTGTTAAGCTTTTTATGTTAAGCATGGAATTTGTCTAGGCTGTTCAGTAGTAATTGTCTGGGGTGCTAGTATTTTTGAAGTGGTTTGGTTCTTTTGCTCTGAGAAATGAAACTTGGTCTTTCTGCAACTATTTCTTAATTCAACATATTATTTTGAATAAGTATAAGAATAGAGTACTCAGAAGCAACCTCATATTCATTTCAGTTAACTATATATATATATATATATGTATCTTTTTTCTTGTTTTCCATCATAAACGACTTTCTCCTTGTCTCCCACAATGAGTTGTTTCTAGAACTGTGCATAAAGTATGAAGATATTGAAGACTTTACAGTGCAGCATCAAGCTTTGTAAAGATTCTCTTTCACATTGACTTCATAAGTACCATCAGATAATTCAAAGGGTGTATTTTCTACTTTACTCAAAGTAAAGACAACATTCTGAAACAACAGTGAGTTCCCCACTGACTTCACTGTGTTCAGGTTCATGCCCTAAGTGCTTAAATAGATACTGTGTGCTTTGTGAAGTGACGTCCTAGAGTGATTCCTTAAATCTCTTAAGGCCCGAGGTTTGTCTGAATAGAGAACTCTTTATTATTCATAGATCTACATTTAAAGAAGTAAATTGAGTAAAATCTGCTTGAGGTAAGTGCTGCCCTGTCTCAATCTGTTCTGAATTTATTTATGGATAAAAAAAACACAAGAGACTAATTTGAGCAGCAAATGAGAATCCTAGCAAGAGGAAGGTAATTAATACTTCTGCTTTGAAAATCTGCGTGACAGCTGGCCGCAGCAATGAAATTGTCACAGATGAGGATGGGTTGACCATCTGTAATAGTGGCACTGGCATGGCATTGTTGTCAGAACTAAACCTGCAGAAATTGGGAAATTGGTCGCATTGTTTGTCTTGCTCCTTTTCTTAATCTCTATGTCTGTATTTTTGCATCTTAGTTTAATATAGGTTGAATTGAACATAAATACACAAAGAAAAAAAATAAACAACTACCCACCCAAAGATGATTTGCATAGAAGTTGATATGTAAAATTGCCGTTCTTATTTTAAAAGGCACAGTAAATAAGCAACCCTTATTTTTATCCAAAGTTAACTCCTAAGAAAAGCTTTAATTTTCTGTCTTTTTTCTAGGAACATGAAATCTGTGAGGGAAAGCATTTTACTAGAATTTATAAAAAAGTAGAGTAATTTTATGGGGATTTACACATGCAGGGATAGAACAAGGCTTTTTGATTTTTCTATTCTCCTTGAACAAATAGAGTAAGTCAATATTTTGAATCTATCAATCAGTTGTCCATCACAGTTTTAAGAGATCTAGAGGTATCTGTGACTATTTATGTTCCCATGGCTTCTGTGGAAATTCAAGTCTGTTCAGAAGAGCAAAACCCACATCAGAGCCTGGGCCAACAGAGAACACCATTTAGAGAATTAAGGGGTGCAAATGTGTGGGCAAATAGGCTTCACTACTTCCACTGCTGCTGTACTGTATTATATTTCAGTCGTCTGAGTGAAAGTAAGATGATTTCATTTCTGTACTAATTGGGAATCAAGTCTTTATCAGATGAAAAGTTGTGAAAGTTTTTGGTTGGCGACTGGCCAGATCAATCAGGTGACTGGCTTGTGTGAATCCTCAGAGTTACACTGACTGATGAGTTTGAGGTCACCCAAGAACATTCTCCATGTTAGATTTGGAGAAGGGGGGGTGGTTATCGCTTTCCATGTAGCCTGTGCATGTTTCTTCCTATAGCCATACAAACATTGTCACCTAATGGTTCCTCCTGTTCCAGCAACCACGATTTGGACAAATCCCATGAGCTCCTTTTTTGTCTTTCGTGTGGCATGTTTCAGTTACTGAGGCCTTTGGTTTCCTAGGTACTTATTCTTGTGCTTGCTGTTGTTGCTGGAGACTGTTTTGCCTTCAGTGCAAACTGAGATTGCAGCACACTGCAGTACAGATGCCAGGTAGTACTGCCATGACCTCCTTGTCTTTTCTTTGTTAAGTCTAAGGCAGAATTACACATGCTTATTAATTGGCATATAATATTAATCAAATTTCAAGAATCTGAGTGGCACACATTGATATCTTTATGCAAATATAGTGTGAGATTAGAAAGATGGAGGCAATTGGTTCGGGGTAGATTTAGTTTAGATCTTTGATTAAAGATTTTTGAATTTTTTGTTCCTGCTCAGTAAGGGATAAGACATGCTGAAAAATCTTCCAGTGCCCTGTGGAAATGGAAGATTTTTGTGGTCATGGTTGCCATGGGAGCTTCTGAAATAATTTCAATGTGAAATTAATTTCTAACCTCCTGAATAGAAAGACTGCACATTCAACTTACACTGTAACTCATTGAGGATGTCTGCTTCCCTAAAGGAGGCCTTTGGCATAAAACTTAATGGACTCTCTTGTTTTGGGGAAAATAGTAAGATTTTTCTCAGTCTTTCTCATTGATGTATTATTTCAATGAAAGTCCTGTAAGTGGGCACATCCCAGGATCTTATTCCTTAGGTTTGCAGTACTGTGCGTAAGCCAGAATAAGTCACAGTAGAAGTAAAACCGTAGATCTACACAGGAATACTAATTAGACTTAGCCAATAGTGAAATACAAAGCAATATGCATTATCTAAACCCTATGGATAAATAGTAAATCATGGTGTAAATGCTCTTTAAAAATATTGTTATAGCTTTCAAAACATTTGTTTAAGAATTTCATCTTTTTCCACCATATAAAGCACAACTTCAGTATAAAATACATTGCCTTTGTTTATGTGTGAGCTAATTTTTCAGGATAAGATTACTTTGTCTATTATTATTCTCGTTTTTTTTTCAGTTCTCTGGAATCTGACTTCATAATTAATTTATTTTGATCCCCAACCCTTAGCCATCTGTATTCTTGGATTCTGACTATTTTACATTATGCAAGCTGTAGGCAACGCACAGCTCCTAACCCAAAACCCCCGAAGTTGTCATAAATTTTTCATATGATTTTTACAAAGGGCAGTCTCTCATCATGAAAATGGGTTCTGGTGGTGAGATGTCACCTGCAGCCGAAACATTAGCTGTTCTGGAAATATATGGCATGAATAAATAAATTGCAGACCAGCGCAGCTGCTTTACCTTGAAACCGTGTCTGGGGAAATGCTATACGTTGAGGAGAGCGTAGTTTCCTGTGCCAGTTCAGAGGGCGGGACCTGCTGGGCCAGGGTAGCTTACAAAATCCTTCATCTGTCATTTCTACTGCGTCTCTCCCATTTCTGTAATTAAATGTCACCCAAGTGCCATAGTCACTATGAAAACCAACACGGACTGTTTTATTCTCTGAGAGTTTGTGTTTGGTTGATTAGTTGTTTGTCAAATCATGGCTTGTGATGCTATTTGTACTTTTCTTGTCAGGGATTTAAATTTGTTGATGAAACCTTCTGAGTTAAGGCAGTGTTTTATTTACCATTTGTGAATGATCAAAAGAATTAAATGCGGTGTACATAAATAACAGACTTTTATAGAAGTCCAGTTAAGGTCTACAAGACCACTATTTTGTCTGCACTTCCAGCAGATATATCTATAGAATTAATGTCATATTTCCTCTGCTTTTAAAGACACTTCAGTTCTCTTTAGTGTCATGGAAAAGTTCAGGCAGGCTGGCAGTAACAGTAATCTACTGTGGGCATAAATTTCAAACACAAACTAAAAAAAACCAAACAAAAAAACAGAAGAGATGGGTGTGTTAGTCTCAAATATACTCTCAGTGTATGTACATGTCAACAGCAATTTATATTTTCGGGGTCTTTGATGAAGAACAGGAACACAGCCTACCAAATCTCTTCCATCATGAAGTCTAGCACTGATGAAAATGTTAGGCTTTCTGAAACTGTTGCCTTTGGGAGGACAGAAACATGGAGCATCCTTGAAGATGTGGTCTTGGGAAGCCCACAGGGCACTGATGACCCTAGGGTGTGGCCGCCGAGAGCTCAGGGAAGGGTACAGCAAGTGAGCCTGGGTGGCTCAGTTGTGTGGACAGCCAAGCCTCTGTCACTACAGTGCTTGTCTTCAGGATCGTCCTGGTCTTCAAGTCAGAATAGCTTGGCAGTTGGTGGTCTGTATGGAAACAGGATGGAAAAAAACAAATATTATGCTAGGTGACCAGAAATAGTGCCTATTATAGACTTCAGATCACCAGAGATGTCTGCATTGATCATATCCATAGCCAGCACTACCTGTGTATTTTCAACTAAGTGCAGGGAGATCCCTTGTAGATAGTGGCATGGCAGGTACTGTAGTATACATGATATTTTGCCTGTCAACGTAGGTATCTTATTTAAATAATCTGTATCTTTGTCTCCCTTCCTGTGCAACTGCCCTATCTATCTTTCTCTTCTTTCTCTATTCCTTGATGAGCAATAAAGACAGACTTCCTTAAGCTACTCAGTTTTTTTCATTAGTTTTTTTCATTTTTCAATTTTTTCATTATTTACTCTTCAGAGTTTGATGGCCATTTAATATCCTGGGTTCAAAACGAGCCTTTTTTACGATAAATGTAAACTGACTGTGTGTTCTCTATCTTCCTTTTCTTTTTTTTTTCTTTTTTTTTTTTCAATATTATATGCCATACCAGGCAACAAAGTAAAACCAAACTTGGCAGCTTTTTGAAATAGCATCAACAGGGCTATGAGAACTCAGCAATCTTGCTTATGTAAAACTATGGATAAACAACACATAAAAACCTTTCTGAAACTGTCATTACTACTTGGAAAAGGATACAAATATAGCATATGAAAAGAACATTTGTATTGGTGTGTGTAAGCAAGGGGAGTAGATGCTAGTGGGTGCTTCTAAAGTAATGTTTGTGTTTGCAATTAGAGGAGAGCTTTGAGAGAGAGGAAAAGAGATATTACTTTTTCAAAAAATATAAAGTGCAAGAATGTTTTTTCCTCCCTTAGAACTGAGACTTGCCAATATATAAACATTTCAGTGAGAATTTTACACCACCTCATCTTTATGTCAGACAGCATTTAATGGTTGAATGATCTCCTGCCCCGGAACTTGGCAGCTATCCTCCAGAGGACGACTTTTAGGATTACAATGACAGTCTATCAGTGGATCTCTTCCAATATAAACTAGACTAGGACCATTTAAAATCAGTTGCTATCAACAAGTCAAATTAACTTTATTTATGTTAGAGGCTTTCCTATGAGTATTTTATAACAATGTGGAATTTTAATATCCAAAGGGGCTTTTCCTGTTGTTGGTGTGATTTGGGAATGTTCTAATTCATGTGATTAAGAGCAATTTACCTGATTTCTTTCAAAATTATGTGATTTGTAATGTTCAGGTCCAATCAGCATCTAACTCAGTACTCACACAACTTTTTTCTGATTCTTGCTTTTTTACAGGTGGAAATAACACTTCAGGATATCAATGACAACCCACCAGTATTCCCCACAGATATGCTTGATCTGACTGTGGAAGAGAATATAGGAGATGGATCTAAAATATTGCAGCTGACAGCCATGGATGCTGATGAGGTAGAAGCATGGTTTCATATTTGAATATCTGTACTAAAAACGCTGTTCTGAATGTACAACTTGTTCCCTTATTCTTTTTGTCTTGTACGTAATGGGTTAATGTTTTCCAAACATCCCTTAATGAGCAGTTCCGCTAATAACAAAAAATGCCCCTCATTTTGAGTTTAGATGGTCTTGTTTTCATCAGTCTCATCATACACTATACCTGCTGACTTGGCAAAGGTGCTGGACTGCCCAGTTTGTGGTAAATATTTATTGACATTTGATTTAAGACCACAGCTTTAGATCTAAAGTAACTTTGAAGCAGAGATGCCATAGTCAAGCCCAGTGTCAAGGTTTGTTATAGAACTCACGTGAGAAGAGCCTTGGAGAAGAAAACTTTTGATAATGCATGCTCGCCTTTTCACTAGAACTATTTAATATCACTGTTATCCTCTCCTAAAGAAAGTTTTATTTTACCAAAGAGAGGAGAAAGGAAATAATGATAAAATACATGTTCTGAACATGAACCTGTTTGCAAAAATCTTTTTGTCCGTTTGGATTAATTAGTGTGAGGAGCAACTGATGAGCTATCAAGGAGCTTGCAAGAGTGTTTGAGCAACTGATGCTAAACAGTTGGCCAGGCAGCTTAGGGAGGGATATTGCAGTCTTCTTGTATGCATGTCAAGAAAATACATCCAAATATAATTTGATGTATTCATTTATTTTGGAAAGTAGGTCACGTGAATGTTAATCACATTGTTTCATTCACTTGAACTGATTTTCTTTCCACTGGGGAATGGCTTAAAAGTCAATATGAGCATGCGAAGATGCATTGTCATTAAAATATAGAGTTACACTTGACAACAACATGCAATTCTTGCATTCAAATAATAAGGTAATTCAGCCCCCTCAAGAGAAATTTATTTCTGGCCCTTTTTTGTTAGCTTGGTTAGTTGTCCTGTGATTATTAATTGATGCACTTAATCTTACTGCTACAGAGGGAACCCCTGGCACACCCCCAGGAATGGTACAAATGTAATTATGACATTCTTGTTCTTCCCTTTATATATTTCCACTCTGAAGCACTCAATCCAGTGGGAATTGATTTGTTATCTTGGACAGAAATCAGTCCATCTTTTTGTAAAAATGCATGATTTCAATTTTCTTTTTTTCTCCTCCCCTGACCTATCTCCCTTGAAGTTGAAGGTACAGTGAACACTCCTTATTTTTCATATAAAATTCTTGCAACATTGTGCTTTCTGGCTTCTTTCTTTAGACATCTTTATTTTGGTGTGCTGCTCGCCTAACTCATGTAGAGTTACCAATTTGATTAAACCAATGTCACATGTGGCTGCTGTTTTAGCTGTACTCTAGTAGGAGAATGCTGACTAGTCAAACAAGTGGTGAAAAATGTGGGCACTACTGAAATCTTAAATTATCATCTGATGTTTTTGAGAAGTGACACAGTTGCAGGAGAGCATGTTACATCCCCCAGGTACACCTGAGCACACAGATGCTGTGTATGCTGAAGCACTGCATGCAGCTGTACAGGGGTGGGCACCTGTAGAAGCTTGTTTTCTTTCTAAATTTCATTTTATCAGTTAGCTCTGTCCAGCTCTTTGAAGCAACACTCCAGAGAAAAAGTTTGGCACAGTGCATTCCCATCAGGTCAGGTAACTAACACTTGCGTCTCATCTCACTGATGTGAGTGTCATTTTCTCTGTTAATTTGCTTTTTTAAGCAAGAGTGTATGAAACAGCTATGCAATTTCTTTCTCCCTGATCTCTCTGATCTGTTGTTGACCACAGAAGTGCCGCCTGGCTTGGCACCAGAGGAGGGCAGGGTAAATGGCTGGGCCGGCATTGCTTTCTCACCAAAGCGCATTGCTGTGCTTGGTCAGCACACAGAGTATTGGTACGCGTGTCCCATGTTGGAGGCTGCCAAACCTTTATCATGTGTTGGAAAAAGAAAGATGTGACCCCAGGTTCTTCTTTTGCTTTCCCTTAAAGACCAATGTGAGTCTGCTAAGAAGGAAAATTTATAGGTAAAGGTACTGGCTTTTGGGTAAAATGCCACCTGAGCTGGTGCTGGGTGCTGTAGCCAGCTGCTTACAGCCCCTGGACCACCCTTTTGGCTGCAGCATCACACTACGCAACCCATCCCCAGGAGGTAGATGGAAACAGAGTTCAGGTAGCATCCCTTTTTCTAGGATACTTCAGTACTAAGACCAGTCTTCTACTAATAAACAATGATACAGACTGGATCCAGGTGACTTTTCTCAGTGTTTATGACAGTGTAGAGCAGAGGCAAAATGCATGGTGTCAATATTTTTTGAATGAAAGTTTTCATATTTTTTCCTAAGTTTTAATTTCAGCCTTAAAACGGAAAAAAAAGTGATTATTTTTCTGTACAAATTTACTTCTTCATTTTCTTTTTAACCCAAATGCTCAAAATCCATATGAATCCTTTTTTCCAAGGAGAAATGAGATACTTTTTTTCACCCCAAAACCAAATGCTTTTGACTTCCAGGGGTTGCCAGCTCAACCCAAGAGATCAGAACTGTGATTTTAGTGACACATGATTTGTCACTTTGGGGCTGTTTATTCACAGGGATAAATGCATTTTCCTGCACAAACTGGTCTTTGAGGGACTGCTGCAGGGCACCCGTGTAAGTGTGGTTCCTGTGAGGTTCTTCTGACCAGGAGCTGCAGCTCTTGCTGTGTGCGGTGGCTGGTGGAGCTGCCACAGGGCCACCCTTGGTCCTCCCTTCTCACATCCCTTCCTCTCCTCTTCCCTTCATCCCACTTTCGGAGGGAAGAGCTGATCCCACTGGCAGGGATTTAATTTAACCTTTGAACATAAAATAAGAAGAATAAGCACTGATCCCTGTTAAGAGGGAAGATGTTACATTTCACGGTGATGCTGACTTGAAATTAAAACAGGTATCAGAGTGTTATGGTATTGACTGGATGTGCGATCCTTTTATGAACAGTGGAGCAAAGAGTATCTGGGTAATCTTGTCATCTCACATCTCATAAATGAAAACTGTGTATGTATGTGTCTGTTGGGGGACTGAAGCAGGGACTGGGCAGGAAGGCTGTTTACTAAAGGAAACTGTTCTGAAAAATATTTGCCAAGTGCAGTTACTGGAATGATTTTTGTCTTACTGAAAATTATTTTGTGGTTTTCCTGGCAAATAACTTGATTTGACCACTTCTGTTTTTACTTAGGGAGCCAATGCCCTCGTCACATACACTATTATCAGCGGTGCGGATGATAGCTTCCACATTGACCCTGAGTCAGGAGACCTCATAGCCACCAAGCGCCTGGACCGGGAGCGCCGCTCCAAGTATTCCTTGCTAGTTCGTGCTGATGATGGCCTGCAGTCCTCAGACATGAGAATAAACATCACCGTTAGCGATGTTAATGACCATATCCCCAAATTCTCCAAACCGGTGTATTCCTTTGACATCCCAGAAGATGCCACTCCAGGTAAATAGGAAATGGCCCTAGAATTGACTGAAATTTTATTTTTGTCCATACCCAGGAGACAGCAAACCTGACTTGTCCAGTAGGCAGTAGACTCTGAAGGCATCTATTGGATGGGATGGAGAGATGAAGGGAATCACAACATGCTGGAAGTCTGCTTGCTAGGAAATCTGTATTGCTGTGGGGTCAAATTTCTTTTCAATGGGAAAGAAAAATGGTTGTCACTCAGAAAACTCCTACATGCAGAATAGGAATTATCCCTGTATCCCGATGAAAGCCTCTGAGCGCTACTAAAAAAACAGAAAACAGAAAAGTAATAGGCGGAACAACTTACAGGATACAAACAGCATAACCTGTCATGAAACTATGCTGTTGTGATGCTGCTATCGATTTAGCAAGCTCAGTGAATATGACTCATAGTACTTAATTCATCAAGGGTAAGATCACAAAATGGGTGATCATTTTGTTAATCAGTGATACACTGATTCCTTAATAATATTCCCTACATGTGGTCAGTTGCTAACCCTAACATCCTATTTCCTTGGTCTTATCTTTGACTCTTGTTTTGACAAAAGTTTTTTTGTATAAAATTTAACACACAGATAATTAATTCTGGTTCCTGAATATGATCAACAACCTCTTGAGTTGCTGTTTTTCTCTTTAAAATGTTTCCTGTGCAAGACTGTTTTGATGTTTGAAGGTTAGATCTTATCTAGAGACTATTTAGACACAAAAAAAGTTTTCGAAAGCTGTGCTATATGACCCAAGATGAGAAGTGAATATTACTTGCAATAAAAAGCTTCTAGTGTTTTATACAGAATGCTATTATAAAAACTGCATCCGCCAGTATTAGTAACTGAATCATCTTAGAAACATCTTCTAAAACATGAATAAACAAAAGAGATGTAAATGACATGGCGATAGCTTTCAATCTTTTATTAGGGCTTTGACTTATAAGCATGGTAGACTCAGCTCAAGACAACCAAGATTACACCTATGCCTCCAACATTTGCGCTGTGTCCCACAGTCCCAGTCCCAAAATTTAGTGGTGTTTTGCATTAAAGGATTACAGTGCAATCAGCTGTGCCTCAGGAATTTGATCTGAAAGTAATTGAGATGTCTGGGTAGCATGTCCAGCTTCAGGTCAGCCCTTTTACCCAATTAATGCGCAAGCAGAAATGTTAAAGTGTTAGGTAATCAAATATATGTAAAAGGTACCAGCAAATTCAGCTGGATTAAAGGAAGTTGAAGCGCTCTTTTTTCATTCTGATGATAAGCAGTTTTCATTGTCAGATTGCTTTAAAATAGTTAACTGTGCTGGAATGCATGTAATTCATCTGGTTCCATGGAAAAGAAATTAAATTATTTACTTTCTTGGAAATGAGCTGATCTTAATTATAATTAGTGTTTGAAATACTAAAAAGTGACACAATTTCCAAACTTTAGTAAGATAGGTCAGTTGTGTGAACACAGCTATGCAGAAATGAAAACAATGGCCCAAATTCACGAGGAGTTGAATTTCAAAAAACATTGAAGAACAGACCCCTATAAGGTTTCTAGTTTTCTAACCGCAGTTACCCTGTGAAGGCACTTTTTCAAAAAGTAGAGCTGGGATATTTGGTATGTACTGACTTTTCAGTTTTTGCATCTAGAAAGAAGTATCTAGACAGTTTCAGAATTCATGTTTGTCTGGGGAGGAGAGGGTCCTTTGTGTAGTAGAAAAAAAATACCTAGCAGGAGAAAAGGTATTTTTGCCCCAGTTGATACCTAATCTGGACAAATTCCCATTTAAAGAGAAAAACAAACATGCCTGGCCATTTCTTGGGGTTTTTTTAGTAGCCCTTTAAAATAAACATCATACTGAATACTGTTCCTACCAGCCCTGGAAAAAACCTTTCACAGGAGTTAGTCATAGGATACTGAAGCTTGAACTTTTATCAGAGGATGCCTCTTATTCTGCAAAGCTGCTTGTTGACGAGCTGGCTCTGACCATGCCAGTGTCCTGCCTTTTATGAGTGACTCATGTTGCTGTCCCATTGTGCTGCACAGGTTCTTTAGTGGCTGCCATTCTAGCCACTGACGATGACTCCGGTATCAATGGGGAAATCACGTACACTGTAAGTGAAGATGATGAAGAGGGTATGTTCTTCCTGAACCCTGTTACTGGAGTCTTCAACCTGACTCGCGTGCTGGACTATGAAGCGCAGCAGTATTACATTCTCACCGTCCGCGCGGAAGATGGGGGAGGCCAATTTACTACCATCAGAGTGTACTTCAATATATTGGACATCAACGACAACCCACCAGTGTTCAGCATGACCTCATACAGCACGTCTTTGATGGAGAACCTATCTCCAGGATCTGCTATTCTCAACTTCAGTGTCACTGATGCAGATGATGGTAGGCCTTTCCTCATATTCTGTATCTGATGATAAATACGTGTTTCATGTTAGCAACATAATTGAAGAGTAGTCGAAAGGGCAAATTCAGGCTATCCTTAGGATGCCATCATGTGCTTAAATTCACTACATGCTGTGTAAATAGAGGTTATTTTTCTCATATTTCACATTAGGTTTAAGAGGGTGATTTCTTTCCTTGTTATTTCTGTTGTGGAAGTGAGTTGCAGAGCTGTATTTTGAACACCATGATTTCTCCCTTGGTGCTGAGGTTGCACAATTAAGTTACTCCTATTTCTTAAAGTTTATAACATATTCTACATATGGCTCTGACAATGTGAGACTTCATCTGTGATCATCACAGTAGATATCCTTAAACATACTGTAATTTTTAAGTGTTCCAAGAAGAGAATTGTGATTTACAGTGTATTGATAGTGGAAGCTGAAAAACTGATTAAAAGAGATCATGGAAGAACTTCTCTTTAAAATAAGCTTTAATCTTTGGATTATTTATGGCATCTAGAAGGTGTTAATGTGTTGGAGTGTAAAAGATACAGTCTTTATAGGTTGCTTAAGCATTTTGCCATACAGTTTATGTCCAAGCAAGAATACTTACACAATATGGCCATAAAATACATAAAAATCATTCTCTCCATAGTGTACTACATTTTTGTAAGTGTCCACAGACATTAGTCAGAGTGACTTACTATAAAATTATTCACAACACTCATACTGACTTTAAAGGTGAAGGTTATTTTTGTGACACGTTAAGCAACCTTGTCTCCCCTCAGCTTGAGACTACCTCAGCAAAGCCCATAGAACTGTCTTATACTGAAATGTGCACTTCAAGCACAGAGCACCTCTGTGCTTTGAGGAGTACCAGTTTATGCACATGAAGTGACAGAGCTGATCAAGACTATTCAGTAAAATGTGGTTTTTTCTCAGGAAGTGCTGGGTTTTTGAACTCAAACATTTTTGTTGGGAACAAATTTTGTGCTGATGAATTGAACTTTCCATGGTAAAAATTGTGCAACTTCTTTTGAGATCAAACTGAGAAAGTGAGAGAGAAGAGGTTCCATAAGATAAGCCAACAAGTCAGAAATTATAACTTGGTGATATTGGCATGGATCGCTCTTTCACCACTCTTGCTAAAGCTTCTATTTTATGTAAACTAACTATAAATTGGAGGAGGAACTTGTGCTTGTATCATGCCTATCCAGAGAATGGACTTGCAGATAAATGGGTTTGTGTCTAATCTGTCTCCTCTCTTATTTCTTATTTTTGTCTTAGGAGTATAATGCTTGGTTTCAAATCTTTCCAGAAGTTAATTTCACTTAACCATTATGGGCCTGTTTCCCTTTTCTCTTGCACCTCATACATTACTTTCCATCTGCACATAGTGAATGTCAACTGTATCATAGCACTGACATATCATTTTACATTCATCCTGCACTCAGTTATGAAGGAAGCAAATGAGTATTTGAGGAGTAATACAGAGGAAAGTCAGACAGATATCTTTTCCTTTATATTTTTTGGCACACTTTTTTAACAGGCTGGATTTAAAATTAATAGGGCAGAAATTTTATTCCAAGAGCATGCCAGGTTGAGTTCCCTGGTAAGTAACTCCCTGTAACTTCAGCAAATGTTATGATCTATTGGTGTTTGTTCCAAGTCCAAATTTATTCTGCTGTTTTTTTCTTGTATACATCTAGACTACAGAAATAACTAGTAGTATACTCCTCTACATGTGGCTCACACATAATACACTCAGTGCACACAAATACAGTTCCATTAATTATTTATGTTATGTGATCCCATAATTTGAAGGGATTTGTCTGAAAAGATTGTTTCATATTCAAGTATACCTATTGTTTTAGGATAAACACTGATAAGTGACAAAAAACATGGTGATAGTGAAACTGCTCCCATTGTAATTTTCTTGTTCAACACAGCCCTTGGGCAACAATAGCTGTTTATATCAGCTCGGGCAGTTTCATATACAGATGCATAGTAAATATCAGCTAGAGCTCTTGGTTATTTAAGGAGTAACAAGGAACTCAGTTCCCTGAAACACATTCATTTTGATGTGATAATTCAGGACAAAGTCCTATGTTAATATAGGACAACGAAAGAAGCAAGCAGTAAGTTTTATAGGAACAAACACCACCATAAAAACAGTGGAGTAAAAAAGAGTATTTCTTTACAGTAATATTATTCCATGAGATCTAATTCCTACCAACCTCCAAAGTCAATTGACAAAAATCTTGAATTGCCAGAAAGTACTTTACTGAAATCAGAAGACTTTCATCCATATAATTAGACATTTGAAAATACAGCTGAATGAAAAAAATAGAATAGCATTAAACTTTCACAGTGCTTCACATGATCAAAGTAGTGTACAAACATTAATATCTGTCATATAAATGTATCAGCTTATTTAATTTAATGAAAATATTTTGTCTTTCATGTTTGGTTCTATTTATTTTATAATTCAGTTCCTACAAGAGAAGAGAGAGGGAAAGATGCCAATTAGAGTAGCTGCTGGGGGAAAGACCAGTACGACTAGAGTTCCCAAGTCTGAGCATAATCAACAGCAGAGATTAATAAGTATAATACAAGAATAATTTTTTATTGAAGAAATTTGGTTGGAGGGAATGACAAAATGCACAGCAAAGTAATCTGCTGCTTAAACAGACAGCTTGGTTTCTTTGCATGAAAAAAGTGAGTTTGAGGGGAAAATCAGTAGCGAATGATCTGTTAATCTCATCATCCTAAATCATAGTCTTCATGATCCAAAACAAGAAAAGAAAATTTTCAAAATTAGTTAAAATAGGAGTAAGGGAAATATATATATAAACCCATGAGAGAAGACTCATTTCAATAAGCTGTTCACAAAAGTTAGTTGTCTACAGTGAACTCTGGAGTTGAAGTGGCAACATAGATTTGTTTCCTGTATGGCATATGAAAGGTCATTCCATATCCCTGTCGAGAATCAGAATGCATTTCCCTTACCAGAATTATAAATCTTTCCCTTGACCATAATTGCTAGTTACGTTCTAATCATAAGATGAGGGTTGTTCATCTGATATTTTGGAATACCATGCCATATATGGGAAGCATACCTTTCCCAAGTATTCACTCTTGGCTTCCTTCAGCTAGGCTTGGGAATTTCTGGTTGTGGTTTTTTTTAATTGGGTGGAAGAATTCATGAATTAATTACATTAATAATAATGTTTCTTAGTAGACTTGTGGAGCAAGGAGCAAACCAGCTGTTCAGTGAGCAGCGAAACTGTTGACTCTTGGTTTCTGAAGGAAAACCTTTCACAACCTTTATCCCTAACCACTGTAGATGGGGAAAAATGACTCATGGTGCCTCCATGCAGCTCCT